GCACGCCGCCCCGCACCCTTTCGACGCCGGCGCGGCCCCGCGGCGGCGGCAACAGGTGACGGCGGATTCCCGCGCGCGGCCCCGCCCCGCCGCGCGCCTGAGGGAGCCGCCTGAGGGGCTGCCCCGGTGGCCGCCACCTCCGGTCTTCGTGCCCTCTCCCTCCCCGGTACCGTCCCTCCCGCTTTACCCCGACATCTGTTCACTCGTTTAATAATTAACCAAACAGCGATGGAAAACACTCTGTGACAGTCCCTCCGTGGGCGCTTCCACCCGCAGCCACCCTGCGCCGGCTCCCACCGGACCTCAGCTGCGCCCCGGAACGGGGAACGCGCCCGGCTTAATTAATCACACCTCGAATAAAGCAGCTGAACAGCACTAATGAGATTTAAAACACCTGAGGTGTGGAAGTCGGGTGAACCCTCTGGGCACTGAGCACCTGAGGGCCATCCCCACAGCCCTTGTGTGGGCCCAAAATGGCGGGCCCAGCGCCAGGGCTAATGGCCACTGGCCACCAGCCCAGAGACGGATAGCCATTGCGGGATGTCTGTGATGTCCCCGATGTCCCCCTCAGGTCCAGCAGCGGGGGGACTGGCCCAGCACCACCATCGTGGGCGATCGGCTTCGGCCCCCCTGTCAGAGAGCATCCCCCGGGCCGGTCTCGGCCAGCACCAGCAGGGACAGGGCTCACAGGCAACAAATTCATCTTTTTCAAAGCCAACATTTCTGGCCAAGTGCCCTTAAATAAGGGGGTTACGGGCTTTTCGCCTTTTTAAGCAGCTTGTGCTGCTCCGGTGAGCTGCTCCCTCGCACGCCCCCCGCGTTCTGTTTGGCCAACAAGTCTCAGCTGACTCACAAGAAGGTCAGAAGTCAAAACATTTTATAAATAATAAATGCTGAGTCCGCTTTATTTGCCTTTTTTTAACCTGCAGGGTTGATATTCTGAGTCGAAACATCAAAACCCTATTTTAAAATGGAATTAGATGGGAGATTCTCATACAATCACCTGACACCAGTTGACACTTAAGGAAACACCAGTTTTACAAGACCAGTAACAACCCCCCCCCGTGATGTTTTCCATCTGGCAACGTTTCCATCCCATTATTCCCCAGATCTAGGGATAAAAACCACGTATATAAGGGCTGCGCAAACAGTACTTTATAAAACCCAAAGATACAATCTCTGCCTCAAGAAACCTGCAATACAAAGGCTTGGTCCTGTAAGATGCTGAGTCTGACAACTCAAGCCTATACTTAATGCATTATGAATTCAAAAAAAGTCAGCAAAGCAATTAACTTGATAAATATTATGCAGCCGTTGAGGCACCCTGGCTGCCAAAGCCTCAGAGCCCGGTTTCTGTTCCTTAACCCTCCCTTTCATCAGGAACAGCCACATGGTTCCAGTGGAAAGACCTAATTTGGTTACGACAAGGCTGAGCTCTGAAGATTTGCTTCGAAACATCTCACCCAGAAGGTGTGGAGGGGGTATGTCACTTCGTAAAAAATAGATTCATAAACTAGCTTTTAAAAAAATGAATCTTTTAAAAAGCACTTTACGCAGTGCTAAATAAAGTCTGAATTTCATTTAGCCAGCTCTCAAACCTGTCCCAAAACCAGCAATGACATTACAGCTGCGAGTAAGTGCAATAAACTGTTGGGTTTTGGGTTTTTTTTATCTTTTGGGGGGAAAGATCCCCAAATTCCAGGAATTTATAGTGTAATGCCTCCACCCTCTCTGCGTTGCCAGTTACCAGTCAGAGAACAGGATCGGGAAGCAAATGCCCGCACAGCGAAGGGCTTTTTCAGCAGAGAACAGAGTGTTCTGCAGAAAAAGCGCAGAGGGTCTTAAATACTACCTGAATATGTTCTGTTAACATTTGCACAACAGCCTAAAAACTCCATGGGTTTTTATTTATTTACAAACGTGAATACCTTTTTCACAAGCAGGCAATTTCATTTGTTACTAAAACCGAGGATTGTTTTTTCTCCGACTCTGTCTAGCGGGTTAGAGACAATCTCTTAATTATATGGATTAATGGTGGTTTTGCAGAGTCCGCATCTGTCCCCTCCATTACCAAACAGCAATTCTTAAAATTACTGTAGCTCCTGGAGCAGCCACAGGAAACCAGGGCTGCACTGCGATGTTCGCAGTGGGTTTCATGGACATTTCCTTTTCTCACTTCCTCCGTTCCCAGCCTGGTTGGCTCCAGGGGAACTGCCGTAGCAGATTAGTCCGTCTGCTCCTGATAGCCCACAGAACCACAGCCTCTACCAAACACTCCAGAACATGTACTTCTTTTCTGAGCTTGCCTTCAGTGACAGGAGATCCCTGCACTTTGACTCCAACCACTAAAAAGCGCCAGACATCCCTCACTCTCCTTCAGAAGGGCCCTGACACTCAAGTGGGTTGCAAACACCCCTTCAAGTTCTGGGGAGGGAAAGAAGAAGCGTCACACACCTCGCAGCCACCTAAACCACATCAAACACTTCTGTTTTTTCCATTAATTGCTACAGATCTGGAAAAGCCCCCTGAGCATCACACTTGAGTTCAACCTGCCAGCCTTTCCCCTCCTGGGCAGAACTGGGGCCCCGTGTACCGGTGGTGTTTTGTGGTGGCAGCACTTTGTAGGGAGCAAACGTAGAGAAATGAGTTGAGGTGTGAGACTTACAGAACCACAGAACAGTTTGGGTGAGAGGGGACCTTTAAAGGTCATCTAGTCCAACATCCTCTGCTATGCGCAGGGGCACCTTCAACTAGATCAGGCTGCACAAAGCCCCATCCAGCCTGGCCTTGAACCCCTCCAGGGATGGGGCAGCCACAGCTTCTCTGGGCAACCCAGGCCAGGCTCTCACCACCCTCACAGCAAAGAAGTTATTTCTAGTATCTCATTGCAATCTCCCCTTTCCATTTAAAACCATCACCCCTCATCCTATTGCTCCCCTCCCTGAACAAGAGTCCTTCCCCAGCTTTCCTGGAGCCCCTTGAGGGACTGGAAGGCGCTCTAAGGTCTCCCCAGAGCCTTCTCTTCTCCAGGCTGACCCCCCCCAACTCTCTCAGCCCCCCCTCACAGCAGAGGGGCAGCCCTCACAGCATCTTTGTGGCCTTCTCAGGACCTGCTCCAACAGGCCTTTCCTGTGCTGAGGGCTCCAGAGATGGACGCAGGGCCGCAGGGAGGGTCTCACTCAACTCAGACTCATCTGTACTCACCTGTCCCGATCACAAGGGGAAGGCTTTTACACTCCCACTAGCACAAGCCTGCAAGATGCCCGGGAGCAGGTCTGCAGCCTCCCGAGGTGAGGCAGCACCTGACACTGCCGTTCGCTCACACCGGCTCTGGAGTCAGGGCTAGGCCGTCCCCTCAACGCAGGCCCCTTCTGGGACAGGGCCCGACCTGAACTCTGAGGGGCCAGCGTACCCTAGGGGGGCGGGGCCGGGCCCACAGACCCCCGAGGGGCCCATGCAGCCTAGTGCCACACCGGGAGGGCCGTGCTCACGGCCGGGGTCAGGCCGAGCCCCCCCGGGTACCCTCCGCTGGACCCGCGGTCCCGCCGCCGCCTCCCCTCCCCTCAGCCGCAGGGCGGGGCTACAGGGCGTGCCCTCACAGCAAAGAAGTTATTTCTAGTATCTCATTGCAATCTCCCCTTTCCATTTAAAACCATCACCCCTCATCCTATTGCTCCCCTCCCTGAACAAGAGTCCTTCCCCAGCTTTCCTGGAGCCCCTTGAGGGACTGGAAGGCGCTCTAAGGTCTCCCCAGAGCCTTCTCTTCCCCAGGCTGACCCCCCCCAACTCTCTCAGCCCCCCCTCACAGCAGAGGGGCAGCCCACACAGCATCTTTGTGGCCTTCTCAGGACCTGCTCCAACAGGCCTTTCCTGTGCTGAGGGCTCCAGAGATGGGTCGCAGGGAGGGTCTCACTCGACTCAGACTCATCTGTACTCACCTGTCCCGATCACAAGGGGAAGGCTTTTACACTCCCACTAGCACAAGCCTGCAAGATGCCCGGGAGCAGGTCTGCAGCCTCCCGAGGTGAGGCAGCACCTGACACTGCCGTTCGCTCACACCGGCTCTGGAGTCAGGGCCAGGCCGCCCCCTCAACGCAGGCCCCTTCTGGGACAGGGCCCGGCCTGAACTCTGAGGGGCCAGCGTACCCCTAGGGGGATGGGGCCGGACTCACAGACCCCCGAGGCGCCCATGCAGCCTAGTGCCGCACCGGGAGGGCCGTGCTCACGGCCGGGGGCAGGCCGAGCCCCCCCGGGAACCCTCCGCCGGACCCACCGTCCCGCCGCTGCCTCCCCTCCCCGCAGCCGCAGGGCGGGGCTACAAGGCGTGCGAGTGGCCTCGAAGCGCGAGCGATGATTGGCCCAGACGAAGAGGGCGGGGGCTAGGCGGAAAAATCTCCCAATCAAAAGCCGGGGGGCGGGCCTTCCGGGGCAGCTCTCGGCAGCCGTTGGCTGGAGCCGGGGGTGGGCGGAGCCGGGGCAGCGCGCGAAGACTTGAAGCGGTTTCCGAGGCGGCCGCCCGGCGGGAACGGTGACGGGTTGGGGCCAGAGGGGCAGCCCACACAGCATCTTTGTGGCCTTCTCAGGACCTGCTCCAACAGGCCTTTCCTGTGCTGAGGGCTCCAGAGATGGGTCGCAGGGAGGGTCTCACTCGCTTTCCTGTGCTGAGGGCTCCAGAGATGGACGCAGGGCCGCAGGGAGGGTCTCACTCAACTCAGACTCATCTGTACTCACCTGTCCCGATCACAAGGGGAAGGCTTTTACACTCCCACTAGCACAAGCCTGCAAGATGCCCGGGAGCAGGTCTGCAGCCTCCCGAGGTGAGGCAGCACCTGACACTGCCGTTCGCTCACACCGGCTCTGGAGTCAGGGCTAGGCCGTCCCCTCCATCTGTACTCACCTGTCCCGATCACAAGGGGAAGGCTTTTACACTCCCACTAGCACAAGCCTGCAAGATGCCCGGGAGCAGGTCTGCAGCCTCCCGAGGTGAGGCAGCACCTGACACTGCCGTTCGCTCACACCGGCTCTGGAGTCAGGGCCAGGCCGCCCCCTCAACGCAGGCCCCTTCTGGGACAGGGCCCGGCCTGAACTCTGAGGGGCCAGCGTACCCCTAGGGGGATGGGGCCGGACTCACAGACCCCCGAGGCGCCCATGCAGCCTAGTGCCGCACCGGGAGGGCCGTGCTCACGGCCGGGGGCAGGCCGAGCCCCCCCGGGAACCCTCCGCCGGACCCACCGTCCCGCCGCTGCCTCCCCTCCCCGCAGCCGCAGGGCGGGGCTACAAGGCGTGCGAGTGGCCTCGAAGCGCGAGCGATGATTGGCCCAGACGGAGAGGGCGGGGGCTAAGCGGAAAAATCTCCCAATCAAGAAGCGGGGGGCGGGCCTTCCGGGGAAGCCCTCGGCAACCGTTGGCTGGAGCCGGGGGTGGGCGGAGCCGGGGCAGCGCGCGAAGACTTGAAGCGGTTTCCGAGGCGGCCGCCCGGCGGGAACGGTGACGGGTTGGGGCTATGGCGGTGGCCCCCACTGAGGTGAGTCCTGCCGCTCCGCAAGCCCCATGGGTGGTGGTAGCGGCGGCTGCAGTCCGTAGCCTGCCAGTGGCGTCGGACGTCATCTGGCTATGGAGCGGTGGGGGGCTAGGAGGGGTAGCGAGCGAGGCGGCAGTGGCGGAGGCCTCCTGGGCTCCCCTGAACCTGGGCGGCACCGTTCCCTCACTGGGCTCGCTCCTCACTTCGTACCGACTACGTTTTCCCGCGCACCGGCGTCGCGCCCTTCTGCCCGGCTGCCGCGGTGCACGCCGGGACGGCGGCGGTGCTGGGCCCGGGCGAGCGCGGGGCATGCTGGGATGGGCGCGCGGGGCATGCCGGGAGGGGCGCGCGGGCAGGGCCGCACCCCCCTCTTGGAATTCAGTTAATTCAGGTGAAATGGGGGTGTGGAACCATAAAGTTTGCCGTTTCTCGGTATTCTCTTCGTTCTAATGGTTTTAGATAATCAGTGGCGAGCGGGCTGTATGTCCACTCTCTTTTCTGGGCGTTGAAGCTCACCCTCAGCGTTAGTGCTGCTGAGGGCAGTGCAGTGTCCCTCAGGGAAACACCAGTTAATTCTCTCGTTATAACGACGGTGTGTGTGTTACTGGTGTGTAAAGGGTTTCCCGAGGCTTGGGAATGAATTTCTCCTCCGAGAGTCCTTCCTACAGAAACAGCCTTTGTCACAGTAAGGACATCTTATTTTTCCTTTGTAGTTTCCGTTAGAAGATGTGAATTCAGACTTGCAGAAGCCCCTGGACAGTGACTCTGACAGCGGCCAGGGCAGCTGTGAAACGGCCTCCCCAGGTCACCTCAGCAAGGGGCCGGCGTCCCTCGATGGTGGAGGTCTGTCCTGTTCCCCTGAACCTGCCTTCAGCGGAGTGGTTTTCATTTGTTTTATAAGTAACCTGCTTAGGAGGTTGTTACTACTTGACCTGCTTGAACCCAAACTGCCTTTTGTGTTGCTCAGAATGTGGGCAGACATCTGTAAATCTCTGCAAAGTGTTTTTTGAGGTACAGAAAGAGAAATAGTAAATGGGACATAAGCATCTTAATCTCTTATTTCATTTGTTTTTATAATTTACTTAATTTATATACTTATTTAGTTAGCTACTGTGTGGTTTATTACTATTTCAAGGCAAGTTGCTAATCTATGGGTGAAGCGTTTTCAGCTTTGCCTTTTTTTTTAAAGCTTAAAACCCATAACATCAGTTTGGGTCAATTCTGTACTGCACTACAGGGAGACATGGATTTTGAAAACTTGAGTTCAAGCTGATTTGCTGGAATTGTTGACGTCTGTGAAATTTAACGTGTGTAATATTATGTATTGCTGATTGATTGTTAATTAACTTGTGGCTGAGTTCAAGCTGATTTGCTGGAATTGTTGATATCTGTGAAATTTAACATGTGTAACATTATGTATTGCTGATCATTAATTACCTTGTGGAATTTTCCTCTCCTTTCAATTGTTTCTTTTAATGTATTTTGTCAGATTCAGAGGAAGAGATTTTTGTACATAAAAAAGCAAAAAGAAAGAAGGTGATTCAGGACAGTGAGAGTGAAGACGGAGAGGATGGCGGCTCTTTTCTGCAGGATGATTCTCCAGAGGGAGACAAGGAAAAAGAAGAGGAAAAAGAGAATGTTACTACCCAGAGGAACAAGAAACCTCGTCGGATTCGCCAAGGTCTGCTGGACAGTGATGACAGTGACACTGATGACCATTTAGAGATTGAAAACCTTGAAACAAGCAGAAATTCTGGCTTGCCTGAGAACGAGTTGGAAGAGGAGAGACCCCTAAAAACTGGAAAAAAGGACAGAAAACATAAACAACATAAACATGATTTTGAAGAAGAGACGGCAAAGGTAGCTGGAGGAAAATCAAGAAGAAGAAAGGAGAAGGAGAGAAGATTTGAGTCCATTAAACAGCTGAAAAAAGAAAAGAAGCCTAGAACAGAGGTATGTATTTTGGCAGAACATCTCATGTTTTCTTACTAAGTTAAATTTATTACTGCATTTGCTCGTTGTGTTTCAGTGCTTCAGTGTTGCAAGTGCCTGCATTCTTGCAGCAGGTGTGGGATCCACAGGGATCCACAGAACAGCACATAACTCTGCAAAAAAAGGACAAACCTCAACGCTTGGTGATTTAATGTCAGTGCGTGCTAGGCCAGGCAGAAATTCTTCAAGTTCTTTGGGTTCGTTGGGGGTTTGTTACGTGCACAAACTGATTGGTCTTTTGGCTTTTCTCTATGTCGCTGTGCTGGTTTCTGGAAGAAACTTTGGGCTACTTCCCAATTGGAATTCTGGTCTAAAATAATGGCTGCTTGGGAAGTTGCATATTGTTGCTATTTATAAACTGCATATTTCAAGTGTTAATTTATTCTCTCTGGGCCATTTTGGCCGTCAGTAGTTATTGAAATTCCCTACTTATCATAGATGTAGGGAACACTGCTCCATAAATTCCCCTATTGGCTTTGCAGTGCCATACAGTGAGTAGGACTGGCTTGTATGGACACAAAGGATGCTAGATTGAAGATGGCTTGTACTTTTTCTAACTTCTTTCTTCAAGACCTTTTGACAGTTAAATTAATTTCAAAGAGCTAAAGGGGACCTTCTGAAATTAATTACACAAATACTTTATTTTTATGGCAAGCAGGTAGATGGTGGCGAGAGGTATCCTTTTAATGACAGCGGGTGTCTTCTTGATGACAAAGAACTGTTTGATAACGGCTTAGAAGAGGAAAATGATGACCCCCCAGAGGATGAGGAGTCAATAGAATCAATACGAGCAGCAGTGAAAAACAAAATAAAAAACTATAAGGTAACATTTGATAGTGATATAAGATTATTGGTTACTAGTGGGGAGTGTTGTACCTGGACCTGTCTTTTGACAATGGTGCACTTCTGCTGTGACAGAGGAGAGAATAGTCCTCTGCTTTTTGTTCTTAAGGGTGGAGGGATGTTGTCCTGCAAAGTTATGATGAGACTGCTACAGTAGGAGCTTTGGAAATCTACCATGAGTATTATGGGGCGTTTATGTTGTTTGTGGGATACTTGCTGGTTTTGATGACTAGCAAGGATTCTGTACAATTGCTTTTTACTTGTTTGCCTGTGTATCTAGACAAATAAGTGAATCTCTTTTTATCCATTGTAGAACAAAGAGCGGTTTTCTGAGGGTGAAGGCTACAAACACGTATTTGATGATGAGGATGAGGAACCTGTATTAAAGGAACCAAAAAGGAAGGTGAAGAATCCTTCTTTTTAAAGCTCCCCATTGTTTGTTGTAGTGACTCAAATGTTTTTTGTACATACATTGTCCAATGTTTTTGTTGATGTGCAATTTTTAATCTTTTTTTTGAACTGGCTGCGTTATTCTGACTTCTTTCTGTTTGAAAGGGAAGTATAAGCTATTTAGTTTGTTGATGTGCAATTTTTAATCTTTTTTTAACTGGCTGCATTATTCTGATTTCTTTCTGTTTGAAAGGGAAGAATAAGCTATTTCTAAAGTACAGATAAAGTCCCATATTTTGTTTTCTGACTTCAGCCTTTCTTTTCTTTCCTTTCCCTAAGGAGCGGAAAGCAGCAAGGTTAAGTAAAGAAGCCATCAAACAACTGCATAGTGAGACCCAACGACTTATTAGAGGTAAAACTTAAATTCTTTGTATGTAGAGGGGTATGAACTGTTAAGAAATTCAGGGGAGAAATTGAAAGAATTCACCCAAAAGTTTAGAGCTTTCTTTTACCCAGCATGAGTTACTGAGGGTTGAAGGGTGCAAGGCCAGTTTTATTCAAAGACCTGTTAAAAAGATACCTTTGTAACTAATGAAAAAACAGAAAGATCATTGTACAAACACTTGAGCCTGTAAACTTTTGTGTAAAGTTAGTGCAACGTTTGGAGAGTGGGATAGGCATATAATAGAACTGGATCTGGTCCAGCCATTCTGGTACTAACATCACAGTTAATTTCCTGATGAATCTATGGACACCTTGCAAATTTGGTCTCAAAGACTGTTGCTGTTGGAATTCTCTCCCAAACAGCAGGGTTTGCTGTATCCAAGTTCAAACTCTGCTCTTTGTGCCTAGTCAGATGTCTTTGCTGACAAATACTTGTGTCAAGCTTCTTTGAATTTTGGAGATATCAAATCAATGCCTCTGACTTTTAAAATTTTCTTTCACCTCCTTTCTCTGGCAGAATCGTCTGTGTCTCTCCCGTATCACGTGCCTGAGGCCAAAAGCATTCACGACTTCTACAAGAATAGACCTCGGCCAGTATGTCAGGGAAATGCCATGGCATTGCTGAAGTAAGGACTTAAAGCTTCCTCCTATTTTTTCATAAATATTCATATTTTGAGGCTATCCCGGCTTTGCTTTTGGGGATAACCAGACTTGTGCATGCTGTAGGTGTTGTATGACATACACACCTGATCTGTGTACGGTCACAGATATTTTTCCTGTTTGATTTTAGCTGTTGCTTTGACTGGAAAGTTTTATTAAGAAACTTTTGAGGCTTCTTGAATTCTGTGAACACCTGGGAATGCCCTGTTAGCATAAGGCAATGCTGCCCTCATGACCCAATTCTACAGTTGAAGTCATCGGGGCAGTGACTCCAGACAAAGTCAGATGCTTGTGCAGTTACTTTAATGTGCTTTAGGCTGGACCACGCCATTTTACGTGGACTGTTTCTTCTTTTGAGTAATGTGTAGTAAAATATTTAAGCTAGTGTAGTTGCAAAATCTCTCAGAAATTTTTTCGTGTAATAATGTAACTAATACAAACCTGTTATGCTACTCTGCACGTCCTGATCTCCTCAAAATGAAGTTTTCTGGACTTCTTTCCTTCACCTCTTCCTACATATAAATGACAGTAATTAGAAAATGATCTCTTCCTCTCTGGGTTTGTTCTCAACCTCTTCTCTGCTTTCACTCTAGCCATGGCTGATAGATTTCTTTCTGCTGTCCTTAGGTCCACTAAATATCAGCTGCCCCTGAGTGAAGAATCTACAGACACTAAGAGCTTGCGTACGGATTGCAGAGATGGGCAGGTCGAAGGTGATCAGTCGGCAGCTGATGAACCAGAAACAAGCCTTGGCAGAGATGCTGATAGTTCTGTGAACAAGCCTCTTGCTGATGTAGGGCACAACTCGACAGAGGACTGTGCTGAGAAGCCCAGTGATGAGACTCTCACAACTAGGACTGATGCAACTGATGGTAGCACAGAAGAACAGCAGCGCCCTGACTTCCCGAGCACTGACTGTGGTGAACAGAAAGAGAATGAAATTCCTTTAGCAGCTGGAGGAGATGCCCTTGAGCAAAGAGATGGAACAGCACCAGAGTTAGAATGTGAAAAAAGCAATCAAGAAGTGGGGACTGGACTGGGGGCACAGCCTGAGAAAGTGAGGAAGTCCAAGTTGGATAAACTTCGCGAACTGGGAATCGACCTGTCCATCAAGCCAAGAATCTCTTCTGGCAACGAATCCTTTATAAACCTCGAGGAATCCGATTCAAATAAAGGTATCTCTTTTATTGTTGTAATACTGCAACACATGTCCAAGTAAATGAGTTAATTTGACTTTAGAATATCTGAGAAATGCTTAGGTGGTAGAAATCGGGCACGTTCACTTTACAGAGTCTTTGCTTGACATGGGTATCCCTTTTCTTTCAGCTGATGTTTAAAAGGGAAGTTCCAAGTCCTTAATATTTGGAAGCTTGAGGGGGTGCTCAGTGATAACTATTTAATGATGAATGATTTATTTCCAGTTTGTTATAGTGAATTATGTTGGTACTTAAAGCACCCAGGAGCACTTTTTTTGAGTTGATTTAAAACAAGCCATGCAGTAACTGTCTGGAAACAAAAGTGGCCTGTGTTCCAGAGCATTTACCATGGATTCTGTTAAAAGACAAGACTGGATAGCAAGCAAAAATGTACTGTTGTAGCAGGAATGTTTTGAATGTCTTTTATGTCTTATATACTGGAGTTTTGAACATCTGTTAATGAATATTAAATAGCTGACCCTGTTTTGGGGAAAGATCGCGAATGGTTAGGCAATTCTAGAATTCCATTAAATTTATTATGTATTAGAAGATATCAAGAAGCTCTCTGGGTTTGACGCTACTTCTGGGTGTGCAGGAAACTGATCTCTGCCAAGAAACAGTGTTTCCATCAGGCATCAGCCTAATTTTAGGTGTGTGTGAGCAGAAACGTGGAGAGGCCTGGTGGCTGGAAGGCTGGGAGTGAGCTGAGGGCTCGTGGATAGATCATAGTTACTGGTAGGGTAATTTAATATTAGCTAATATCAGTCAAGTAGTCAGAGCAAAATATACTGTAACATTTTATTGTTTTGTTACTCAAATACAATGGCTTTGCAAATATTAGAATATTAAAGGCCTAGAGTTTTTAACTGATTTCCTTGAAAAAATTGAGGATCTCAAGACCTACTCTTGATACAGCTGTAACACTCAATGCTTTTAAATACTATCAAATATCTAATTTGCATTTTGAAATGTAATTAATATGTACTTAAAGAGATAGAAGCCTTGAAAGCGCGTTTCTTGAAGCACACCCTTAAAACGTCCAAATCCAAAGCCGAACGGACCATAAACATGACCATCATTCGTAAGGAGACCACGTCTGAAGGGAAGGAGGAGCTGAAAACAGCCGTGGTGCCAGCAGTGCTGGCTGCAGAGAGCCTGGAGGGAGCCAGCCACACCAAGCCAGGTGGGTTTGGGAGGAGAAGTGATGATGGTTCGGTTGGAAAACACTTTGTCTTTCTTTTCCTCTCTCATTCCCCCCAGAATGTTTTAAAAATGAGTCTCGATAGACCTCTTCAATTGTACCAGCCAGTGTAGGACAGGCTCAGTCAGAGCTTTACAGCTGGTTCTCTGGATTTCTCCCTTTCAGTACAAAAATCTATATAAATTTATGTCTGCAGTTGTTTTCCATCAGCTCTCAGAATGTCACTCCTAGGCTTCTTGTGGATTATTACCATTTATTAAGTCTCTCACGCTTCCTTATTTCTATACTGCAGTCTCTAATAGAATTTTCTGTATTTGCAAACAAAAATGTGTGGAGTGTGACTCTCCCATAGTATCCATTATGAGAAATAGATTATTTAGCTGGTTCTATGGGCATGTGGTATTTTTAGCTGCTCTTAATTATTTCATGTGCTGTAGCACGCCTGCCCATGGCAATTGGATGCTCTTGTTCCCAAAAGACACAGAGGAGAGACAGACCTGCTTCTCGGAGTGCTGCACCGCTGGCGGCTATGGATAATGAGGGATCTTGATAATTCATAAGATTGTCTGGTCTCTCTAAACTGAGCTCATCAAAACTAACGGCTCTGGCTCTCCCAGCTGGCAGGTCAATTCAGACAAACATTTCAAAACAAGCAATTTTTTTAATTCCCTTTTTATACGTGTCGTTACATTCGATTGGATGCTTGAAGGCAGTGAAGTTAAGGGCTCACTGTAGTACATCTAATATATTAATTTATTCCTTTATATCCAGGTGAAAAGCTACAGGCACTGAAGGCTAAGCTCCAGGAGGCCATGAAGCTCCGCAGGACTGAGGAACGGCAGAAGCGGCAAGCGTTGTTCAAACTGGATAATGAGGAGGTGTTGGAGGAGGAAGAGGAGGAGGAGGAGGAAGAAGAGATGACAGATGAGTCTGAGGAAGAGGAGGAAGGCGATCATGAGGTCTGTATGCAACTTTTCTACATCACCTAGTCAGCTTCAGTTCTGCTGCCTCTCCCCAGTGAAATGAGACTTTTGTGCACTATGAGTATTAGGGAAATGGCCAGGAATTCTTCCTAGAAACGAAAAGATTGCTACAGTTTGTATGTTCAGGGTTTGGATTGTCTAAAGCTGAATTTATTAGTATTTTCTTTATTTGTCTAAACAATATTAAAAACAAATGCAACTGTATAAAAGATTCTGGTGCCACTTCCTCTTTTCATATGTGCTTGGCTCATGGCTAGCAGGGACAAACAGAGGGCAGGGTAGGGTTCTCCATGTCCTTTTCCAAAGGATCAGAATAGCTTGGCTGTTTTGAGCACCTCTGTGTCTGTCCTCTTGGAGGAGAAAAGGTGTGTGTAAGAACAGTGGATGTGGCTCAGCTTCATCCTCCACGTGTTAAAGCATTTTCTTGAAAAGCACACAAGGAAGTTGCCAGCTCAAAGCCGTGGTCACCGTATCTCTGCTGTGTTTGGGGGTGTTTTTTAGAATGTGGAATATGTGCTGGATGAAGCAGAGGAAGATAACGAAGATATAGAAGAGAAACACGGTGAAGATGGTGATAAAGAAACCGACAAAGAATCAATTGATGGAGAAAAGTTGGAGAAATCTGTGCACTCTGATTCTGTTCCCAAACTGCCCTCAACAGAGTCTACATTGATGCTTTTTAAGGACAGCTCCTCCAAAATGGGGTAAATAAACCAAGCTTTAAAAATGGTGCCTGAGCAATTTAAAATTTGATCAATAGCCGTAGGTGTTTTGAAGTACTTTTTTTTAATAAAATGGGGTAAATAAACCAAGCTTTAAAAATGGTGCCTGAGCAATTTAAAATTTGATCAATAGCCGTAGGTGTTTTGATTTAAAGTACTTTTTTTTTAATAAGTATTTTTTCTCTCTTGTTCTAGTAGTTATATGTGCATTCATATATATTTTCTTTAAAAAAACTTAATGACTGTAATTGTATAGTGGAATAATGTAGATCTTAATCGGTGTACTAGATGTATTTTTGTGTGTTACCTTGGTTTTTTGCAATTAGGTTTGACAGCAGCAATGCATCTTGTCTATATTAGTAAATGCATTTTATTTAATGAATTGCAGATATTCTCTTCCTGATGAGAAACTTGAAATGGAAGAAGCTGCAGACAAAGGACCCACAAAGTTAGGTAAAGTAGAACTATTATTGTAGGTCCCATATTTTTTCACATGGCACACACAGAAGTTTCTATTTGGGATTGGTGTTCAATATTGTTGTTATTTCACCTCCTGTAGAGTTATACAGTGTGATTATAAAAGTTTAGACTGAAAGAAAAGTTCAAAATGATACTGAGTGTGATTATAAAAGTTTAGACTGAAAGAAGTGAGAGAGCTTGAGAAAATTAGAGGAAACTAAAGTTCAAAATGATACTGAAAAAAAATATCAAAACAGTCAGAAATCAAGATGAAATTCAGTTAAAAAGTGCAATATGCATCCTCTATGAAAAAAAAATCCAACGTGAGCCCAGAATAAGGAATTTTTAGCAAGGTGTTGGTGTTGCAAAATAGTGTCTTGAGGTTTTACTGGATGACAAAAAAAGAGTTGTTAAGCACTGTTTTTAAATACTTGTTTTCTTTGCAGAGGATGATGATTCCTTCTCTCTCCCAACGCTGGCAAAGGAGAACAGCCATAACAGCAGCTTCGAGCTGATCGGCTCCATGATCCCGTCCTACCAGCCCTGCAACAGACAGATCTCTCGGGGAGGGAACTTCCTCTCTGCAGCAGGAGGTTTCAGGTCGCCTTCCCCAGGCTTTTTCAAAACAAGCTTTATCAGCTCTGCCTCCAAGGTGAGGCTCTTGGGCCTGTCAAACAGTCAGAAATCAAGATGAAATTCAGTTTAAAAGTGCAATGTGCATTCTCTATGAAAAAAAAATCCAATGTGAGCCCAGAATAAGGAATTTTTAGCGAGGTGTTGGTGTTGCAAAATAGTGTCTTGAGGTTTTACTGGATGACAAAAAAAGAGTTGTTAAGCACTGTTTTTAAATACTTGTTTTCTTTGCAGAGGATGATGATTCCTTCTCTCTCCCAACGCTGGCAAAGGAGAACAGCCATAACAGCAGCTTCGAGCTGATCGGCTCCATGATCCCGTCCTACCAGCCCTGCAACAGACAGATCTCTCGGGGAGGGAACTTCCTCTCTGCAGCAGGAGGTTTCAGGTCGCCTTCCCCAGGCTTTTTCAAAACAAGCTTTATCAGCTCTGCCTCCAAGGTGAGGCTCTTGGGCCTGTCCCCGTGATACATTAACACAATGGGTAGTGAATAGATGGATTTTTATCCTGACTGTCATGTGTGTCAAAAAATAATACCAGGAAAAGCATCTAGTGAAATGCTTTTATATGAGTAAGATTTCAGAAAAGCAAACTGTTCTTGGAGTTTAAAATGTTTCCATGTTGGAAGGAACAAAAATGACATAATAAAAACTTGTAGCATCTTTTCTTTGATTTTTTTAGAAGATAATTTGGCTTTGGTATCTAAAATATGTATATCAAAAATTTTTAAGCATACTTACATGAGGTACACAATATCTGATGCCAGTGAACTCCTGTGATTTATCAGAGTGGTGTGGACGTGCTTGACTCCTGTGTGGTGTTTATTCTTTAAAATAGCTTAAGTGTTTTACCTCATTCTTACTTCTGACTTCTAGGATTGCAAAACAAATAACTTGTATATTTTCTGTTCCTTTGACTAGAGCTCAGGAAAGACATCTGAGCCCTCTCTTCCCATAGAAGATTCCCAGGACTTGTACAATGCCTCTCCTGAGCCCAAGAGTTTATTTCCAGGGGCTGGGGAGTCTCAGTTTCAGTTTTCTCTGGAAGATGACACTCAGAGCCAGCTGCTTGATGCAGATGGGTAAGTGATAGGTCTAAAGGGTGATGTTTTGTGCCCTTTACCAGAAATAGGACATACAGATCAGCAAGATTTTTCTTTCTTTCTTTCAGGTTCTTGAATGTTGGACAGCACAGGACTAAGTACCAGCCCTCAAAGCATCAGCTGACGCTGGCGAGTATGGATGAGAACGCCATGGATGCCAATATGGATGAACTGCTGGACTTGTGTTCAGGACAGTTTAGCAGCCAAGCTGAACACGTGCCAAACAGTGCCAGTGACAAAAAGCAGAACATGGAAGAGTTGCTCAATCTTTGCTCAGGAAAATTTGTGTCTCAGAGTATGTCCTGAATTCTGTTGTCAGCTTTGCTGGTTGCTTGCTTTATAAACTTTACGCAGAGGTACCCTTTAGTTCTGGGCACTGATGCAGAACTGTGAGCTCTCACAGTTTGCCACTTCTGTGGGAGCATGTTCACTGTAATTTCTAGGATGCTCTCTGATATTTTAAGAGTATAAATAAACCTGTCTAATAAGTTGCTGTCTTATTACTTTTCGTAGCAGGTTCTCCAACGTGGGCCTCTTCGGTGTCTTCCAAGGCAGAAAAGGACAGTGACATTGAAGATCCGATGGCAGAAGCTCTAGCACTTTGTTCAGGTTCCTTTCCCACAGACAGGTTAGCATTGTTCTTCCCAAAATTTACAAAACAGTGGTAGTTGTCTTGCTTCGCTCTTGATGTGTCATCTTATTTGACATAATTTCAAAGTGTGGTCTGTTTCGGAGGTAAAGCAGTCGCTCTAAATCAGCAGCATATGCTGTTTCCCACAGCTACTGTGAAGGGAAAATCTTTGCCTTTCACTGACAGTGAAAGAAATGTTGAAAAAACTTTCATCAAACTGAGACAAGATTGCTAGAATGTGGGATTTCTGGGTTCTGTTCAGGGCTGTTGCCAAACTACAGGAACCGTGACCAAATGTAAGTTGGGTACTTGTGTTTTTTCTACTGATGAAACTGGGAAGATCTATGGCTGCCTGACAAAAGGATAATGAGGCTTAACAAATGGGAATGGCAGAGGGATATGAGAGGGATTTGGAAATAAACTCAGAAATCAGTACTTGTCCCATGGTTTCTGCAAGTGAAGACCAGAGGTCTCAAAACATCAATGCTTATGGGGATTTGGGGCATTTAAAGCTAAAAGCTGTTGAGAGACTGTAGCTCTTTGAGGACTCACAGATGATTGCCTGAGACCAGCTGAGGTGGTGGTTGAAATTTTGTCTTGAATTATTGTGAAGCCATCACTGGAGGTGAAATGAAAATGTGTATTTCCCTCATTTGCTTTTCCCCCAGGGAAGAGGAAGAAGAGGAGGAGCATGAAGAACTCGGTGATTTTCAGCTTGTAACAGATGACAACGTCTTTGATAGTGATGAGGTAGGAACTGATGGAGCAAGGCAATGTTTGGATCATTTAAAAAGTCTCTGAAATACCATAATACACTGGATATAGCAAATCCTCTGAAAAATCTCTGGTGCTTCAGTCTGTTTTTATTGATTGAAGAACAGAAGAGGCTGTCATTGCAAAGCAGTCTGCTCCCAGAAACTCCTTAATTCCTGAAAACTGTCTCTTTGATAGGATGAAAAAAGTGGAGGTAGTGATGCTGAAGAAGCAGAAATGAGTGACGAAGAGGAAGAACTGCTGAGACATAGACAGGGCATGAAGAAAAAACTGTAAGTACATCTTTTTTGTATTGTAATTGCCAGGCAAAGAATAGAATGTTAATAGCACTAGATATTTACTGTATAATTATTCCCTCCCCAGCCTTAGCTTTATATGGTGCTGGCTCTGGCTGGTTTTTTGCTTTGGTACTGTCATGTCACATGAGTTTAACTACATTGCCAGTGGTTTATAGAGGATTTTTGTTATAATTTTCATTATAGATGGAAATCAAAAGACATTTGTTGAAAGCAATGCACGATTTTTTTAACCAAAAAAGGGGGTGCAAGACTATTGCTGTCATTCCTCATGTCTTAAAGTTTTTATTTGCTCTAGTTAGTAAAATGGCTGGCTGGCAGTTACCATTGCCATCAAGTTTAGTGGCAACTGGGAAGGAATCTGGTGGTTGACAATAATTCAGGATGTTGCATGTTGGCAGGCTGTGTGTGTACATGTGCAAGAACTCAAAAATTATCAAAAATTAAAGGTGAATCATCACTTCTCACTTAAGATACACGTTAATTTTATGTCAAAAGAGAAAACTTGGTTTCGGAAGATTTGTGTGATTATTACTGGTCTACCGAGCTGAACTTTCTTAATGTTCTTTTCTAGAAAACTGCAGGATTTCATGGAAGACGAGGCCGAGCTGTCGGGGAGCGACGTGGGAAGCGAGGATGAGTATGATGGTGAAGACCTGAATGAATATGAAGAAGAGATGATTGACGAGGAACTCCCTAATGAAGTGGAACTAGAAAATCAGATACAGAAATTTCACATGTCAGTGACACTATTAGTCTCTATTTGTGTGTGTCGAGTCCTGGCTGGGATACACCCTGGTCTGACCCCCTCCCTCTCTCCTGCCTCGGTAGGAAGGCGATGCTGGATGACGACAAGCGCCAGCTGCGCCTGTACCAGGAGAGATACCTCATTGATGGGGACCTGCACAGCGACGGCCCCGGCAGAATGAGGAGGTTCAGATGGAAAAACATAGGTACCTTTCTGATCCTGAGTCAGCAGATGGGGGGGAGATTGGAAAGAGAGTCTGTGTTTAGTAGTTTGCTTGGCTTTTGGGGGGTTTTTTACTAGTCTAAATATTTTATGCCTCTTTTAAAATCGATAGCTAATTATTTTTTTCCCCTTTGTCTAGATTACGATTCACAGATCGACTTGTTTCAGAGAGATTCAGATAACGAGGATGAAAATGAGCAGTTCGATGAGACAGAGGTGAAATGGAGGAAAGAGCGATTTGAACGAGAGCAGTGGCTCCGTGAGCAGGTATTAATTAGCTGCAAGAAAGGCACCTGGCTCGGGCTTTCTCTGCACCATTGCTAGATGTGAAACTGTTAGTTCCTCGAGTTAAACTCTGGAAAAAGTACTGTTCATAAATGTCTGTTTTCCATCATGGATTTTGCTCTTCTACGAGTATGTACAACTCAGGAAAATTTGTGTCTCAGAGTATGTCCTGAATTCTGTTGTCAGCTTTGCTGGTTGCTTGCTTTATAAACTTTACGCAGAGGTACCCTTTAGTTCTGGGCACTGATGCAGAACTGTGAGCTCTCACAGTTTGCCACTTCTGTGGGAGCATGTTCACTGTAATTTCTAGGATGCTCTCTGATATTTTAAGAGTATAAATAAACCTGTCTAATAAGTTGCTGTCTTATTACTTTTCGTAGCAGGTTCTCCAACGTGGGCCTCTTCGGTGTCTTCCAAGGCAGAAAAGGACAGTGACATTGAAGATCCGATGGCAGAAGCTCTAGCACTTTGTTCAGGTTCCTTTCCCACAGACAGGTTAGCATTGTTCTTCCCAAAATTTACAAAACAGTGGTAGTTGTCTTGCTTCGCTCTTGATGTGTCATCTTATTTGACATAATTTCAAAGTGTGGTCTGTTTCGGAGGTAAAGCAGTCGCTCTAAATCAGCAGCATATGCTGTTTCCCACAGCTACTGTGAAGGGAAAATCTTTGCCTTTCACTGACAGTGAAAGAAATGTTGAAAAAACTTTCATCAAACTGAGACAAGATTGCTAGAATGTGGGATTTCTGGGTTCTGTTCAGGGCTGTTGCCAAACTACAGGAACCGTGACCAAATGTAAGTTGGGTACTTGTGTTTTTTCTACTGATGAAACTGGGAAGATCTATGGCTGCCTGACAAAAGGATAATGAGGCTTAACAAATGGGAATGGCAGAGGGATATGAGAGGGATTTGGAAATAAACTCAGAAATCAGTACTTGTCCCATGGTTTCTGCAAGTGAAGACCAGAGGTCTCAAAACATCAATGCTTATGGGGATTTGGGGCATTTAAAGCTAAAAGCTGTTGAGAGACTGTAGCTCTTTGAGGACTCACAGATGATTGCCTGAGACCAGCTGAGGTGGTGGTTGAAATTTTGTCTTGAATTATTGTGAAGCCATCACTGGAGGTGAAATGAAAATGTGTATTTCCCTCATTTGCTTTTCCCCCAGGGAAGAGGAAGAAGAGGAGGAGCATGAAGAACTCGGTGATTTTCAGCTTGTAACAGATGACAACGTCTTTGATAGTGATGAGGTAGGAACTGATGGAGCAAGGCAATGTTTGGATCATTTAAAAAGTCTCTGAAATACCATAATACACTGGATATAGCAAATCCTCTGAAAAATCTCTGGTGCTTCAGTCTGTTTTTATTGATTGAAGAACAGAAGAGGCTGTCATTGCAAAGCAGTCTGCTCCCAGAAACTCCTTAATTCCTGAAAACTGTCTCTTTGATAGGATGAAAAAAGTGGAGGTAGTGATGATGAAGAAGCAGAAATGAGTGACGAAGAGGAAGAACTGCTGAGACATAGACAGGGCATGAAGAAAAAACTGTAAGTACATCTTTTTTGTATTGTAATTGCCAGGCAAAGAATAGAATGTTAATAGCACTAGATATTTACTGTATAATTATTCCCTCCCCAGCCTTAGCTTTATATGGTGCTGGCTCTGGCTGGTTTTTTGCTTTGGTACTGTCATGTCACATGAGTTTAACTACATTGCCAGTGGTTTATAGAGGATTTTTGTTATAATTTTCATTATAGATGGAAATCAAAAGACATTTGTTGAAAGCAATGCACGATTTTTTTAACCAAAAAAGGGGGTGCAAGACTATTGCTGTCATTCCTCATGTCTTAAAGTTTTTATTTGCTCTAGTTAGTAAAATGGCTGGCTGGCAGTTACCATTGCCATCAAGTTTAGTGGCAACTGGGAAGGAATCTGGTGGTTGACAATAATTCAGGATGTTGCATGTTGGCAGGCTGTGTGTGTACATGTGCAAGAACTCAAAAATTATCAAAAATTAAAGGTGAATCATCACTTCTCACTTAAGATACACGTTAATTTTATGTCAAAAGAGAAAACTTGGTTTCGGAAGATTTGTGTGATTATTACTGGTCTACCGAGCTGAACTTTCTTAATGTTCTTTTCTAGAAAACTGCAGGATTTCATGGAAGACGAGGCCGAGCTGTCGGGGAGCGACGTGGGAAGCGAGGATGAGTATGATGGTGAAGACCTGAATGAATATGAAGAAGAGATGATTGACGAGGAACTCCCTAATGAAGTGGAACTAGAAAATCAGATACAGAAATTTCACATGTCAGTGACACTATTAGTCTCTATTTGTGTGTGTCGAGTCCTGGCTGGGATACACCCTGGTCTGACCCCCTCCCTCTCTCCTGCCTCGGTAGGAAGGCGATGCTGGATGACGACAAGCGCCAGCTGCGCCTGTACCAGGAGAGATACCTCATTGATGGGGACCTGCACAGCGATGGCCCTGGCAGAATGAGGAGGTTCAGATGGAAAAACATAGGTACCTTTCTGATCCTGAGTCAGCAGATGGGGGGAGATTGGAAAGAGAGAGAGAGTGTATGTGTGTGTTTGATAGTTTGCTTGGTTTTTGGGTTTTTTAATGGGGGGGAGATTGGAAAGAGAGTCTGTGTTTAGTAGTTTGCTTGGCTTTTGGGGGGTTTTTTACTAGTCTAAATATTTTATGCCTCTTTTAAAATCGATAGCTAATTATTTTTTTCCCCTTTGTCTAGATTACGATTCACAGATCGACTTGTTTCAGAGAGATTCAGATAACGAGGATGAAAATGAGCAGTTCGATGAGACAGAGGTGAAATGGAGGAAAGAGCGATTTGAACGAGAGCAGTGGCTCCGTGAGCAGGTATTAATTAGCTGCAAGAAAGGCACCTGGCTCGGGCTTTCTCTGCACCATTGCTAGATGTGAAACTGTTAGTTCCTCGAGTTAAACTCTGGAAAAAGTACTGTTCATAAATGTCTGTTTTCCATCATGGATTTTGCTCTTCTACGAGTATGTACAAAGGATTCAGAAGGGAAAGGCAAAACAAGTCAGCTGCAGAACTGGAATAACTCTCATGCTGGGAGCGTAACTCCACATTTTAGGAGTTTCAGTATTGGGTCAGATTTGTCAGTTGAATGTGATGCTGCATGTTTGGTCCTCATTGATAGAATGAGGATGATAAAATATCTCAGAAAGTGTAATAAACTTTCATAGTAAAAAGTAAATAAAAATGAATATATTAATTTACATAATGAAAAGACTTAAATTACCAAATGAAATGTTAATTCTTAATATATTGATAGAATGAGGATGATAAAATATCTCAAAGTGTGATAAACTTTTATAGTAAAAAGTAAATAAAAACGAATATATTAATTTACATAATGAAAAGATTTAAATTACTGAATGAAATGTTAATTCTTAATACGAACTTTTCCAGTTTTACAAAGTGTCTTCTCTCTGCTGCAGAAGGAAAAAAATAAAGAGCAGGAGGAGGAGGAAGAGGAAGAAATTGGTGAAGACAGCCAATTCATGAAACTAGCAAAAAAAGTAACTGCGAAGTCCCTGCAGAAGAAAGGTAAGTTTACTTTTTATTGACTTGACAATCAAATAAGAGAAAGGAGGTTTAACTCCCACTTGTCACCGTGGTCTCCAGTGAAGCACACGATGGATCAGAAAATTCTAGTGCCCAGTTTTCTTACACCAGTCCCAGCTCGTGTCTTCCAGAACTTGAACAGCTAGAGCTATAAAAGCATTAGAAACATACAACTGCAAGGTTGATGATAATCATGTGTATTTTCTTAACAAAATAGTATGCTACTTCAATGTTAGAGTGGAAATAAATTCCTCTACATTTTTGTTTATTCTTTTATTCTTCATTTACTTGCCTTTAAGTTGCAGATTAGACTGTAAGTGAAAGTCTCAACCTTGCAGTTTCTCCAGATGTCTGTGGCTTAAGGAAAAACTATGTCATAGAGTTAAAATAAATTCATTATAGATGGAAATCAAAAGACATTTGTTGAAAGCAATGCACGATTTTTTTAACCAAAAAAGGGGGTGCAAGACTATTGCTGTCATTCCTCATGTCTTAAGGTTTTTATTTGCTCTAGTTAGTAAAATGGCTGGCTGGCAGTTACCATTGCCATAATCTTTGGTGGCAACTGGCAAGGAATCTGGTGGTTGACAATAATTCAGGATGTTGCATGTTGGCAGGCTGTGTGTGTACACGTGCAAGAACTCAGGCTTTAGTCTTATCAAAAATTAAAGGTAAATCATCATTTCTCACTTAAGATACACGTTAATTTTATGTCAAAAGAGAAAACTTGGTTTCGGAAGATTTGTGTGATTATTACTGGTCTACCGAGCTGAACTTTCTTAATGTTCTTTTCTAGAAAACTGCAGGATTTCATGGAAGACGAGGCCGAGCTGTCGGGGAGCGACGTGGGAAGCGAGGATGAGTATGACGGTGAAGACCTGAATGAATATGAAGAAGAGATGATTGACGAGGAACTCCCTAATGAAGTGGAACTAGAAAATCAGATACAGAAATTTCACATGTCAGTGACACTATTAGTCTCTATTTGTGTGTGTCGAGTCCTGGCTGGGATACACCCTGGTCTGACCCCCTCCCTCTCTCCTGCCTCGGTAGGAAGGCGATGCTGGATGACGACAAGCGCCAGCTGCGCCTGTACCAGGAGAGATACCTCATTGATGGGGACCTGCACAGCGATGGCCCTGGCAGAATGAGGAGGTTCAGATGGAAAAACATAGGTACCTTTCTGATCCTGAGTCAGCAGATGGGGGGAGATTGGAAAGAGAGAGAGAGTGTATGTGTGTGTTTGATAGTTTGCTTGGTTTTTGGGTTTTTTATACTAGTCTAAATATTTTATGCCTCTTTTAAAATCGATAGCTAATTATTTTTTTCCCCTTTGTCTAGATTACGATTCACAGATCGACTTGTTTCAGAGAGATTCAGATAATGAGGATGAAAATGAGCAGTTCGATGAGACAGAAGTGAAATGGAGGAAAGAGCGATTTGAACGAGAGCAGTGGCTCCGTGAGCAGGTATTAATTAGCTGCAAGAAAGGCACCTGGCTCGGGCTTTCTCTGCACCATTGCTAGATGTGAAACTGTTAGTTCCTCGAGTTAAACTCTGGAAAAAGTACTGTTCATAAATGTCTGTTTTCCATCATGGATTTTGCTCTTCTACGAGTATGTACAAAGGATTCAGAAGGGAAAGGCAAAACAAGTCAGCTGCAGAACTGGAATAACTCTCATGCTGGGAGCGTAACTCCACATTTTAGGAGTTTCAGTATTGGGTCAGATTTGTCAGTTGAATGTGATGCTGCATGTTTGGTCCTCATTGATAGAATGAGGATGATAAAATATCTCAGAAAGTGTAATAAACTTTCATAGTAAAAAGTAAATAAAAATGAATATATTAATTTACATAATGAAAAGACTTAAATTACCAAATGAAATGTTAATTCTTAATATGAACTTTTCCAGTTTTACAAAGTGTCTTCTCTCTGCTGCAGAAGGAAAAAAATAAAGAGCAGGAGGAGGAGGAAGAGGAAGAAATTGGTGAAGACAGCCAATTCATGAAACTAGCAAAAAAAGTAACTGCGAAGTCCCTGCAGAAGAAAGGTAAGTTTACTTTTTATTGACTTGACAATCAAATAAGAGAAAGGAGGTTTAACTCCCACTTGTCACCGTGGTCTCCAGTGAAGCACACGATGGATCAGAAAATTCTAGTGCCCAGTTTTCTTACAGCAGTCCCAGCTCCTGTCTTCCAGAACTTGAACAGCTAGAGGTATAAAAGCATTAGAAACATACAACTGCAAGGTTGATGATAATCATGTGTATTTTCTTAACAAAATAGTATGCTACTTCAATGTTAGAGTGGAAATAAATTCCTCTACATTTTTGTTTATTCTTTTATTCTTCATTTACTTGCCTTTAAGTTGCAGATTAGACTGTAAGTGAAAGTCTCAACCTTGCAGTTTCTCCAGATGTCTGTGGCTTAAGGAAAAACTATGTCATGGAGTGAAAATAAATTTTAGGTTTTCCTTGGTTGTGGCAAAAACATGACTCCAAGTGTGCAAAGCTGTTTCAAACCCACATTTTCCCTTCTAACTGATAGAACTAATTGCCAGTCATCTGTCAGTTGTGTGACTTGTGTAATTTGATGCAGATTTATTTTTCCCTACTGTTTTTACTGTTTGTTGTCAATTGTAAGTTCTTTGGTTGATAAGAAATTATATTCTTTGAGGCTCAGAAATTGATGTTTTCCTCTGTCTCTGCCAGCGAGCCCAGCTGTTGTGGTACAGGACACAACACTCTTACCCAGGAGCCCTTTTGAAGCATTCAGACCTGCTGGTGACCCCCAGGTTGGTAACAGTTCCCAAAATGCTGTTTCCAAACTGTCTCTGTAGAGTGGTTTAATGCGGCATCTCTTTGTTCCTCAGATAAAAAACGGGTCTCTCCTGAACAGACCCAAAGCTGTCCTTCAGAAACTGGCAGCCATGTCAGAGCTTAATCCAAACGCACCTCGAAATTCAAGGAATTTTGTCTTCCAAACACTTTCCCCAGAGAAGAGTGAAGAGGGAAAGGAGAAATCAAAACCTCAGGTAAAGATTTGTGTGGATTGTGCTGCCAGTTGTGTAAATTATTTAAATGTAGAGGCACTAAGCACTGCCAAGTAGTTTTAAGTATTCTCTAGGATTTCCTAGTGTGTGCTCTCACAGCAAATCATTCTCTGATAATTCAGAACTTAAACTTTTTGAAGATTTGTATATATTCTAATGTATCCTATTCCCTTGCAGGTGAAGAAAAGAGGTCCTACTGCAGTAATAACATCTTTGGCCAAACGGCCCAGGGTGGACACCACAGAGGAAACAAGTCAAAGCCGAAGCATATTCCAGTACTTGGAGAGCTGAATATTTCTGCTCCGGGCTGGAGGTTGTATCTCTTCTCTTTGCCACTTGTGGTTTGTTTTACAAATCTGCCAGCAAATCCTCAGGAAGGCAAACAAATTGCTGAACGTTCTCCTGCTGCCACTTCATTCACAAGTTCCAGTAACTTCCAGGCAATGGTTTTGTTTATTCCCCTTTGTTTTCTCTCGGTGCTCCGTGATAAATGAGAGCACAAACCCCGTGCCTGGTTTGGGGTGAAATGCTTGCTCAGAGCACAAACCCCGTGCCTGGTTTGGGGTGCAATGCTTGCTCTTTCCCAAGCATTAAGGACACTTACACTACTCCCTTCTGTCCTCAGAACCTCCTGTGGTTCAGTAAATACCCTTGCTGGGAGAGGAATGAGGCAGAAACTCTGCAGTTAACTTAAAGCACAGGTGAAGGAGGTATTTCTGCAGATTTGGGTGAGAAGAAAGCGGTGTTCGCTGTGGCAGGACGAGGGTTGGTTACACTTGCAGTATGAAGGGAGCCATGGCTTCCTCCAGTGTCTTCTTTTCTCTGACGTTAAGCATTTATTAGCTTGGTATTTTAAGAAACTCTAATTTATATTTGATATGTATACTTTTTAAAAAGGCCCCAGTCTTTTGTGAGGCAGTGCGGTAAAGACTTCTTTCCAGGTTTTTATTACTGTTTATATTACTACATGTGCATATGAGTGTATGGGTGTGGAGCAGGAAGAATGTGAGTAACAGATGTGGGAGAGGAAGAGCAGGTGTGTCGGGGGGGTTATTTGCTTTTTTTCTGGGGGTCATTCTTTGATTCTTTGATTAGGACTCCCCTAAGTCTGTTGTTTTCATGTAAAGTGCCCTCATCCGAGAGAACCCATCATCTCTGAGCAGCCTGTAATGAGAGGCCTTCTCTAGAACAAGTAAGTTAGATAATAAGGCACCATCATTCACAACTATTCTGAATAGTTTGAAAGAAACTTGAGCCAGAACATGCAGCATCTCTGTCATTCCTGATGGCACGTTGGGTGTGTTGGAGACTAGTCAATGGTCATACCATGGCCTGCTCTGGACAACTCAACATCTTCCTGCTGTCCCACCCTTAGATTGCCAGCTCTGTCGGAGAAGTTTCCTGATCTGTAAATTTTGTAACATCCTACAGGCACACCTGGTGTGCTACATGTAAAATATTTTACTGTATATTATGTTTATAAAGAATTATGGTACTAATTGGAGTGCAACTTTACAATAAAACGTTTTTAATTTTGGAGGCAGTTGGACTTCACTTAAAGAATTTCAGTGGCTGGTGTGTATGTGGATTGTTGTTTTTTTTTTCCTAAAATGTTTGTCTCTCTTTTTTTGTTTGTTTTATTTTCATTGCTGTTTTTCTTTTGTAGCCACAACTAAGCCTTTCACTAGGAACAGCTGCAATAATATTGAAATACAACACAAACAATCCCCTTGTGTTTATCAGAGTGTAAATCCTCAAGTCTTCCACTTAGGTTTGCTTAAAATTCTCGGCCCTAAGAATAAGTTTCTTTTTACTGCTTCAATAGTTTTGGGTTTGTTACTTCTTAGACAAAACTTCCTTTATCGTTGGCTTGAGGTGTGCCCATGTCAGTTCATTCCAGCAAGTCTAACAATTAGAATAACTGGATTTGGGATGGGAGGTTTAGGGAAAGAATGAAGGAGGAAAGATCATTTATCGGGTGTTTCTTGAAGAACAACATAATTGGCAGGAGATATCTGAATATCCAGTTAATTCTTTATCACGGTGTTTGTACTGATGTGTAAGTTGTACTAATTCAGCACAGATTTCCTGGGCAAAACCATTCAAAGCTGCAGAATTCAGCATCTTCTCTTAATTTTGCCAGTAACGCCTGCCACTAGAGAGCAGCAAGAGAATGCTCTTCCTCTGCAAAAGGGGAAGGACAAATGGTTAAAGCTTAAACTATACTCTTGACTCACGGGGAAATTCTTAGTTTTCCATGCTCTGTGGCCCTGCAAAGTATTAAATTTACACAGACCTATAATTGCTACATTTTTGCATTAGAAGATAGTAGCTTGAAGAGCACCTTCAGAGGGTTGGCTTTGTCCTGGTGGCCTTACTGGCCTCTCCTCAGCGTGTGCTTCACAGCCATGGCATTTATTTTGCTTTCCTTTTAGAATTTTCCCTTCAAAATATGCTTTGCTTGTTCCAGAGCTAAGAGTAGAAAATTATTGTTGGGCCTGAAGAGCTTATAAATTGAAATATGTAGAAGGGGAAGATTTCTGGCTACTGTTGTTGAGAGTGAATGTTTTCCCCCCCCACCAATCTTTGAGCAGTTTGGGGTTTGGCAGATGCTGCTGGTGAGCTCTAAATGTTGTCCCAGAATATTCCGTGCTGTGCTTGGGGAGGCAGGGCTGGGAGGCCTGTAGGAATGAAAATCTCAGCAGCAGGAGGGTTTGAATGTGTCCTGAGATGACGATGATGCTCGTTGTGCCAGACTCCATGGTCCTGGAGGGGAGCAGAGCTGGGTTTGGGCTGACCCTCACCTCTGCTCCCTCTCATCCATCTCCTCCCCCCAGCCCGTCTGGCACATTAACACTGCTTTGGCTTCTCATTTTCAGCTATTGATTCAGCTCACCCCTCCTGGCACTGAGATGTTGCTGTGCTAACGGGGAGGAAGAATCCCCCCGTGTTGCTGCTGGAGGTGCTGAGGGTGGTGTGGGGCTGGGAGGGAGAGACTGGGGAGGGTTGAGGTGTAGAGAGAGGTGATGGGGTGGGAATGAGGGCCCTGTGCACAGCCCTAGGGGTCCGCCTGCGCAGAAGCAGCTCTGCTGGGCCCTCCTGGGCTGAAGGATGAGCTCCGTCCCCTTCCCTCCCTGCTTTTCCCCTCTTGGGTGATCCCCCAGCTGAGAGTGGGGATTGGTGTTTGGTTTTGGCTTTGCATGGGATAAAGAAGTGGCTGCACCTTGGTGGGACACCAGGGTTCTCATCGCAGTGAGGCATCTGTGATAGCCACACCTCTTTGTGCCTCAGTTTCCCTCACCCCCAGGGAGCTCCAGGAGGACCAAAGCCTTTGGGATCTGCCCTGGTCCCTGGCCACCTTTGCAGAGAGAAGATCTCAGGAACCCCAAAGGTAGAGAAGAAATTAAAAGAGAACTTAAAAGCAGAGGAAGGAGCAGCCTTTGGTGTGTGTGAAAGGTTAACATTGCAGACACGTTTATAATCATGGCTTTCACCACTGCATGGCTCCTCGGGGGCTCAAGGCAGTCACTGAATTATGTTTTCTTTTCCCCTTTTCTTTTTTTCTTTTTTTTTTTTTTTTTCCTTTTTGCCAAGAGACTGAAAGGCGGGGGGGGGAGAGAAAAAAAACTATTTGTTTGTCTTGTCTAATTTAATTTATGTTATTTATCAAGTAGACAGGTTATTTGGGAAACCAGATGGACCCAGGCTAAAATCATCTGTATTTCTAACATGTGAAAAATTATGTCGGAGTGGACACACGAGGAGAGGCAGGGTGTGTGTTCTGTGTGTGCTTTTCATGGGGGTGTCTGTGCCTCCTCTGTCTTGGACCAATATGAGGGTCAAAGGACAAAAAGCCCCCCCGGGCACCCACGCAAGTGGGGACGGGAGGGTGGCTTCCAGAGCAGCCCCCTCACTGTTATTTACCCTCTCTGCCTTCCCAGCCCCTCGTTAGCCCTGCATCCTTTCTCCAGGAGTGATGGGCAGGGCTTTGGGCCCATGAAAACATCTTCAGCGTGTGCTCGGCTGCGGAGCCAGTGATGTTTGCAGCATCTCTTTCCTTTGGGTTCTCCCTTCCTAGGAAAGGGGAGGTGAGAGAGCAGCAGGAATGGCTGTAGCTTAACAGGAACGGAGCAGATAAATCAAGGAACAGAGTGTAAGAACACAGTAAAACAGGAGCTCTCTGTTCCTAACAGGCGATTCCTTTCCTTGCTAAGAAGAAAAGATAATGGGAAAAACCCACCCTGCGGGACTGGTGCTGCCTTGTGCCCGTGGGAGTGGGTGCCCCCACTTAATTACAGTCTGAAATCAAAGACCTTCCCTCCCGGGGAGCTGCAAGGGGCTGGGCATGGCTGCCCCCCCAAATTTCTGCTTTATTCCCCAGAGTGGAGCCTGAAGCAGCCCCCCCTCACCCGGCAGGATCCAGGGATGGAGCTGTGGGGGCTCCTGGCTGAGCTCATGACGTGGAAAATAGCCCCGGCAGCAGGGCTGGGTTTATTAGCTGACCTGTAAAGCAAAAGTTTCCTTCTATATTAACTATTAGTCATTAATATTAATTATAACATCGCATGTGCTCCGTGTGGACAGATGTTGGGTCCTTGGGGGTTAGTATTTTCCCTTGTATCATCCAGAAGCCCAGTTTATGGCCGACTCCAGCGACGCCTCTCCTGGCAGCAGAGCTCTAACCCAGCTGTAATTAAAGAAAATGACAGAAAAGATTGCTGTGCAGGGGGGAGGGGCGAGAAGCAAATCTTACAGCTTGGCGAGAGATTAATTTTATTTTTAGCTATTTTTTTTTTTCTCTGCTCCTCAAGGCTGTTTTCATGCAACACGCTCAGTGCTGCTCCCCGTACGGTGGCCCGTTGATTATTTTTTTTTTCCTCAGTGTTTGCTGATGTTGGAGCACACATTGATGGAGGGTTGGTACCTGAGAGGCATCTTCCCTTTGGAAGGTGAGATGTTCACCTGTGTCCTCACACCCAGCCAGCACCCCAAAAGCCACCAGCAGCCCCAAACCCTCCCCTCTTCCATGGGGGGGATGCTGTTTGGAGCCCGGGTGTCCTGTTGCATCCTGGTGTGCCTGGTTGTGGCCACTCTGCCCAGCCCCAAGATCCTGGCTGGAGGACTTGGTGGATCAGCAGAGAGGCTTCTCCCCTAGCTCATTTCGAGTTGATGGAGACTGGAAGCCTAATTAACCCCCTGAGGTGCTAACACCCCCTCACTGGCTGCTCAGGATACGCAGAGTTGGCCATTCCCCATTCCTATTTTACATGCAGCCTGGAGGAGGGCTTGGAAAATCCCCTGACCCCATTAGAAAAAATAAATGGCTTTTCCTTCCTCTTCCCTGATGGGGTACGGGGGCCCGATCCTGCCCAATGCATCCCCCATCCCTGCCTCAGGATGGGAGATAATGGGAACTGCCCCTTCGGGTTGCTTTTTCCACCCCAAAACTCATGGGTGGGGGGCATGGGATGGTGCTGCTGATGGATTCTTCTGCAGGGTGGCTTGGGTGGAAACTGGAGATGCCAAAAAC